TCTGGAGCACTGATATTGTTGTATATTGTCTAGTTTTTTAGGTATCTTGCAAATTTTTCGCTGTCGTGTTTTACTAATTAGAATAATATTACGTATGTATTTTTAGCTTTTGATTCAAATGCTAGGTAGTTGGTTAATGATGATGATTTTCTTATTTGAATCATTTTTACTTAATTAACCAAAACCCATATCTGAATATGAATGTATTTACAACTTTTATACATGAGTTAAATATTAACAATGCACAATTAGCTTCCGTGATATCCAATTCAAGGGCTGATCAACTCTGGAATTTATTGTTAAGAAGTCGATCAAGTCTTTGCATCATAATGGATTACATGTTGGATATATGGATAAAGGAAATATTTGTGATTATAGTATTCGATTCATTTGTGATTATAATGATCTACTATTTATACACTTGTTTTACGTTTGTTTTTTTGCTTGGATCATCTTAACGTAGACCTAATTATATAGAGAAATGTACCTCCTGAAATCGATGGTGAATGTCAATTGTATTCATAGTTAAAGTGAATATATATTCTACAGCAATAATCTTTCTGAAAATTGAACAAGAATATATTATATTAAAGATATTTGATAAAGTTGATGAAACCTTACACTAAATATCTTCTTATAATATCCATATTAAGTAAGCTATAATCAATACTTTAAAACAGTACCCATTGGTTTCAATCAAGATGGAATATGATTTCAAATAATGTATAAGTTTAAGCTTGTGAAATATTTAAAATTAATGATGGGTGAAAAATAATCAAGGAAACAAAAATACTGGGTGAAAGAATTTGAAGCCAAGTGTATATAGATGAAAATATTTCATCTATTTTGTTAACATTCAATGAAATATAGTCCGATCCAAGCATTTTCAATTCTTCTCCTTAAGCACTAGATGATCAACAAACGACTCATATTCTTCAACAAATTCATTTACCATGGAGAAATACAGGGAGTGTACTAAGAAAGATCCAAAAAAATTGTTCAATTTTTCAATGTTGGTATAGAAATCGCGATTTCATTAATTTTACCTGCCCAACACCCAACCCAGCTTCTTAAGGGTATTTTAATTTTGAGTTTAAAAAGATTGAATGATAGATCTGTAATTCATGTGGCTAGATGTCTCTTAACAACCATATTTTGGTGGTATCGGCTAGCATATGATGTATTATTGGTTTTGACTCTGCAAACTGGACAATGTATATAAGCATTGTCAATGATGTTCTTTTGTTACAAATCTAGTATCAATTTGAATTTAATTCATATTATATATTTAAAGATCAAGATATGTTTAATTTATCTTTTTGCTACTAATCAATTCTAGAATGTGTTATATTAGTGTTTGATTTATTTGAGATTATAGTGATCTGCTTTTATATACATGTCTTACCTTCTTTTTCAATGAATTGTAGTGATAAAGTGGTGTTATTATAATGAATTATAATATATCTCTTATAATGATTGTAAAGTTCTATAGCTAAGTATTCTACATAACAATAACCGTGCTTGAAAACAGTAAGGAACATATATTAAAGATACTTGATAAAGTTGATTAAACCTTATACGAAATATCATATTTATGTATATCTTTATTATGAGCTTGATATTGATATGTCATAATATTATAATATATTAATGAAACAATATATGAATTTTTGTAAACTCAACATGGAAGATCATATATAATATATGATCATTGATCAATATAAGCTAGTTAATTTTATGTTCTATGAAATATAAGTTCATATATGAATTAACTTTACACAGCTGTACTTGTTAAGCTGCGGAATATATCCAACTATCAATAAATTTCCGAGCTGTATTTACAAGAGCTGATGTGGACAGAATTCGAAGAACGCACAAATATTTATGAACTTTTGTGAAATGATTCAAAAGTAAAAGTTAAAATTTTCAATATCAATTATTTAGCTGTGTGCGCGCGCGACGTAACCCTTGGTAAAATCGCGATTTTATGGAACAAGCTGAGATAAGAGACAAAATTTTTTGAACTTGTTTTAATCTTTAGCTGGTTCAAATAAGGTCATGGTGAAATCTTCTCAAACTTTGATTTTATGAATGGTTTGAATTCAAATGTGGATAATTGTCATCCATCTGGTGTTCTACCTGCTTTCCACCTTCACATCCCGTCGCTGTTTAGCAACATAATCTCTGGATGTTACATCTATAAATTGGATACATAAGATCAATCTGTTAAATATGATATATTTACTTAATTTTAGATCATATAGTATATTAAGAGGACTTGGTTCTAATAGCATTTGATTCATTTGAAATTAAAGTGATCTGCTATTTATGAGTACATGTTTTTCAGTATTCTTTTTCATTCATGAGTTGTAGTATGGAGATCTTATACTCGATCATGGATATCTACATTGTAACTATTCTTGAAAATGTATAAGAATATATATTGAAGATAATTGATAAAGTTGATTAAACCTTATACGAAATATCCTCTGTTATATTCATATTGTGTAAGCTTTTTAATTTATAATACTTTATGAGTACTAATTTAGATTCACTCTAAACATATGATTAAGCAGCTTATTTATTTTATACGCATGAAAGCAAGGAAATAAATACGATTGTGGTCTATGGACATCATTCATGCGTTATCAACCAAAATGTAATTGTTAGCAAGTATCTGATTACAGCCATAATGAAACATGTTAGTTTGATATTCCTTTCTTAAAGAGTTGGTAAAAAATAAGAAGGAAAAAGTAAAAGAAAACAAACTGGCAACAAAAATAATTTATAATTATATAATAATTCGCGATCGACGCGAATGTTTTGATCAGCAATTATTTTGATTTTATAACCAATTAATCACATTTCCATGAGTTAACCAGTACTCATATCATTAATCAAATCCATAATTTTTTTTGTAATACTAGTGTATGTGAATAAGTATACAACATTTAGACCGTGGAGTTATAAATCTATTTGGTTAAACATCTGCAATTGAAAGGTTTGACACTTAATTCTTTTAGAATGAGATTTGCTGATTCAAGTATATACTGATACATGAATTAAAGCTAAGTATGGAACTTAAATACTAACAACAATATTTATTAGTTCGATCTGGCAGCATTATAGTTCCTAATAGTAACAAACCGTTGTTTTTTAATCTTTTTCCATGTAATATTCACTCTTTGAATATTCTCTGATTGATTGTCCATTGTTAAAGGAACAAAACCTTTACATGATGATAGATGTTCAGTATCCAGAATATATAAGAAAAATATGTTATAGCAGTATTTGATTCATTTGTGATTATAATGATCTACTATTTATATACATGTCTTTTGTTCTTTTTCAAGTTATCCAGTAGATTTCAAGATGTATATCATATAATTGTTTCTATAAAATCGACTGGCCATGGGATATTTATATTTTATTCATAGCTGAAATAGTTTTAGTGCTACAACATCAATAATCTTTGGAGAACAGTAAAGAATATATATTAAAGATACTTGATAAAGTGGATGAAACCTTATACGAAATATCTTTTTATATCCATCTAAAGTGAGCTTATAATTAATACTTAATTAGCACAACCTCATTTTAGTCGAAGTTTAATTGAATGAAGTATAAATTCAAGTTAATTATGAAAATCAGTGACCGAGAAAACAATCAAGGCAGATATGATACAAGGCCTATATCCTATATCTGAAAGATATTGAATCATGCTCAGTGCGTTTATCAAAAAAACCTTGGCCAACAGTGTTTGCTAATCTAGCTCTTGAGTGCATGAAATGAAAGAGTGTATTGGAATGAAACCAAAATCTATTAGATTCATTAAAGATACGGTATGTATAAATTGTCGAAGTTTGTAATTACATGTCAACAATATTTTAAATTTTTCATGAAGGATACAAAAATCGCGATTATCAGAAATAGTTTCAACCAGCCAGCTAGCTTTTGAAATTTAATTTTGATTATAAAAGGGATAGAAAATATCCATGTTGCACACTTATAAGGTTTATAATTTAGGATCAAGTTTTCTTTATTGTCTAGATTTAAGGACATACTAGAAAATTAATGTTTTGAACTCGTCAAATCTTACCGTTTTGATCATATAAGCTTGATTATCATAGATGTTATTCGTATTGGTAAAATCTAAACAATATCAAATTAAATTAACAAATCCTAAGCTACTATATTGAATTTAATTCATATCAATATGCAGATATGTTTTTATCTTGTTTGATAGTATTCAATTCCATAATGTGTTATATTAGTATTTGATTCATCTGAAATTATAGTGAACTACTATTTATATACATGTTTTGATGTTCTTTTTCAATATGTTATTGTAGCTATATTCTCTCTATTAGATCCCACTTTCATACAATACTCGAAATCCAAGATAAACTATACAAAATTGGTGGAATTTTGATAATATAATTGAAGTTCTAATGATGTACTGGTGTGTTTATACACGATTAAGGGGCCGCGCTTTCAATACTTATACACTTTATATATAAAAAAATTTCGTTCGATCATTTATACAGACTGAAGATGATTTCCTTAAATTAAAAGTTTGGATTTTAAGTTTACCCATTTGTCTTTGTTTGTACTTTCAGAATACGTATTCCTGTACTACAATAGTAAGAAGGTGATTAATGTTCCATTTTACAACGAATGGTCCCATTGTGTCGAAACCAAGCATTTCTGATGATATATGAGAACATATAATTGATATTAACCAATTTGTTTATAAATTGACTTGGTTTTACATTATATTGTTATTCCCATATAATACACAAGGAATATGTTATGATTGTATTGATTCATTTGTGATTATAGTGATCTACTTTCATATACATATTTCATTCTTTTTCAAAATCTATACAAATGTAGGTCATTATTATACGATTTAAAGTAACCAAAAAGATTCATAAATTCACACATATCAACATCTATATAAAAACTATTAAATCAATACTGGAAGTCACTATCAATATTTAACATGTATCAGTACCATAATCAAGATCATAATATTCTAAAACAGCTTTATCTAATCTATCAACACCTTCAATTAATTCATCAACTTTATCAACATTTGATAAAGTCAATCTTATAAAATCACTATTTGCACTATATTCATTATCAAAACTCATTAAATTACCCAATATAACTAAGACACCATATTTAATAAATTTAAATCTTAAAGCTTCAAATTGTCCTCTATCAAGTTTAAAATTGAATTTTATAATGAAAAACATACCACCTTGTGGTTTTATTGGTGATATTAATTTTCTAGTAACAGATTTTAAGGTCTGGAAATGATTGAATAAACCTTCAGATCTTTTGGTATATTCTAATGAAACTTTATAAGTCCATGATAAATAACCATCAATTTCTTCTCTTTCATCACCATCTTCAATTATAGAACTTATTGATTCGTTCCAATGTTTAATCAAATTTGTTAAAACTAATTGAGATAATCCTGATGGTGCTTTTGTTGTGGTTTTAGATACTTCAGTTAAACGATTAATGAATTTTGATTAATGAGCAGTTATAAAACCAAGTCTAATCCCTGGGAAAATTGTTTTAGAAAAAGTACCTAAATGAAGTACACGAGGTGAATTTGTTGATAAATATGATGAATTATGTAAAGATTTTTTATATTCTTGAAATTTGACATTTGTGATAATTTCTTCATTCTTTGGGATTTCTGGTAAATGACGAATAAATCCATCAGGATCATCTTCAATAATTAATAAATCAAATGTTTCCACAATTTTTAAAACTTTTTGAATAATTTCAAATGATGTTAATAAACCTGAAGGATTTTGAGTTGGTACTGTAAATAAAAATTTTGGAAATTTTAAATCTTTATAAGGACCTTTATGCCAATTTTTCAAAATATCTTCCAAAGTTTCAGGATTCAAATGTGGATTAGTTCCACTAGGATCAAATTCAATAGGTAATGGGATCATAATACCTTTATTAAATTTAAAAGTTGCAAAAATTGGTGTATAAGTATAATTTTCAACAAGGATTGTATCATCAGGATCGATAAACCCCTGGAGGATCTTGTTTAATGAATCTCCAGAACCAGAAGTTATTAATGATTGGAATTCATCTATATTAGCACCATGGAATTGGGTAAACTTTGAAATTTGTGATAATAATTGAGGGAAACCTTGACCTGGAGCATATTGTAAACCTTGAGTAATATCTAATTCACTTGTTGATCCCTCATTATCAAATGGAATTTCTAAAGATTCTGTAGTTGGATTCTTATCAAATGGTGATTTTTTCAAATTAAGTGATATTGATTCAACAGGATAAAATCCTGAATTTGGTCGACCACCTGATAAATTGATAAGATCTGAATGAATTGGATATGGTTTTGGTGGTAAAGGTAAATAAAAATCTGATGATTCAATTTCTTCTTTATTGAAATATTTCTCTGGTTCAAATGACATTGTGATCTAATGATGATATTAATGATGATCAATAGCAATATAACAATGGGATAATAGATAAGATCAACTTCTTTATATATTACTTTTCAATCTTTTGGTACTTAAAAGTTATGGCCTATCTTTCCAAAATTAATTGTGTCTCATCGGCTAAACTTCCCAAAATGGTAATTCACCCAATCAGGAAACCAAATGAGACGCGTTTTAAAGTTTTAAATTTCGTTCTTAATTTGGAAATTTCTTAAATATTTTCGTTGCTTAAAACGCGAAAAAAAAGCGTACCACTCCTGCCAAAAATGCAAAAATTTGTTTGTTTGGTTGTAAATGAATATAATTTTGAATATTCTTTATCTTTTTAATTAACTACATAATCTATATTTTAAGGGATATTAACAGAATAAAGGCAAATACATAAGAAATAATGAGCAGACAAGAAGATATAGCTGCTGAAAGTATCTTAAAAAGAGCAGAATTAACAAGAATTACAAAACAATTAAAATCAAGATTATCTAAAACAAATTTAAAATCCAAGTTGAAGGAAAAATCTTTAAATTCAAATTCAAATTCAAATAATATAATTCATAATGGTGGTATAAATAAAATTAATATAACACCACAAAAATCTTTAAAACATAAGAAATCTATTGATTCAAATTATGATGCTTACAAGACAGAAGATGAAAATTCACCAATTAAATCTTCAATTCATCAAACAAATTTACCACCATCATCACCATTATATGAAGAATTTCAAATTCCAATCATACCTAAAACTCCACCACAACAAAAAATCAATTTAAATACAGATATTTATAATTCAAATTCAACAAATAAAACACAACCAAATTTTTCATCACCAGTTAGAGGTTCTGCACAACAGGGTCAACAACAAGGTGGTCAACCACATTTACAAACCCCAAAAAGAGGAAATCATCATGATGAAGGCGCAGATTTATTAATGTTTTTAGCAACTTCACCTTCACCAATTCAATATAAAAATTATCCATCAACTCCACAAAGATCTCAATCTCATTTAGCACTAAATTCTTCAACTTCCAAACAACCTCAACATCAACAACAATCATTACCAAATTCATCATCAATAAATTCATTAAATAAATTTGCAACACCAAATACTCCCAAGAGAAATCCATTAATTAATTCAAATAATTTAATTAATTTATCCAAGACTCCAGGATTTAATATGAATGATTATGTTAATTTATTTAGTCCTTCACCAAGAATCACAAGAACTCCTGGTGGGTTTATTAATAATGGACAACAAGTTGATTTGAATGGTGAAAAGGATATTAATGGTAAATTAATCAAGTTTTGAACATCATAAACTTAGGTTTTTTTGGTGGTTTTTATGGTTTTTAGTGATTTAAGGTTTTATGGTTTTATGGTTCCCGGTTAAATAAATGGGTTTTATTTATCCGGTGTTTTTCTTGTTTTTGTTTTTGATTACATCATCAATTCGGGGTTAATTAAAATTTTTAAATAAATAACAATCCTGGAATTAAAGGGTATTAATGGGTATTAAATCAAAAACATTGGTAAAATATGAGTTTATCAAGAGCTACATTAGAACAAAAAATTGAAGTATTAGATTGGTATTATTCAAATGGTACAAAATCACAATTATATACAGTTAAATATTTTCAAGATTTAAATTTATTTAGTATAACAAAATCAAGTTTTAATAGATGGTTAAAGCATGAAGATGAATTAAGAGAATCATATAAAAAAGTTAAATATAATGATTCATCCCAATATAAAGTTGCACCAGTTTTCCAAAATGAATTGATTTATAAATGTCTTGAATTTTGGTATGAACAAAACATTTGGTTTAATAAAAATTTTACAGAAAGGGAATTAATTTCACAATACAAGAAATTTGGTGAATTAATTGGTATAACAAAAGATTTAAATAAATCAAATGGTTGGTGTTATCATTTTAAACAAAAACATCAAAAACGTAAAGATGTTTTAATAGATTATGTTAATTTAAAATTAAATTTCGCAAATTGTTTTACAAGTTTATCTGCAGAGAGAAATTCTTTTAAGAAGAGTTTGGAAAATATTGAGCCTCAGGATATTTTCCAATATGAAGAATTATTAATTAATGATGGGAATAATTTGAATAATTCTTCATGGAATTTCCATGTTGGAGTATTAATAAATTATAAAAATTCAAGGAAATTTGATCCAATTGTTGTTAATTCTTCACATGATGTTGAAGGTCCAGGGTATTATCAAAGTTCCCTGGGAAAGATTTCAAATGAAATTTTCCTAGATTGGTTAACCCAGATAAATAATAAATTGGATAAAAAGATATATATAATGTTAAGTTTAAAATTTGAACATGTCCTGAGTTTAGAAAAATTTGATAAAATTGGTATAATATGGTTTAATCCAAATTTACAAACTCAATTAAATTATTTAGGTTATGGAAGACAACAATCAATTGAATATCAACCTTTTTATTTAGGGATTGGACAATTGATTAAAATGTTGATTAAGATTAAGATTTGGCAAATTTATTCACAAAGTTTAGAAATTAGGATTACATCACAACAAATATATCAAATTATTCAATGGTCATTGGATAGGTTAGTTAAAGATTATAAAAATTTGGTTATTTCATGTTTTGAGCATTCAGGTTTATTACCTTGGTTTAATGAAGAATTAAAATATAGTAAACCAGTGATTGAACCCAAGATTTTAGATAAATTTATTGAATATTATAATAAATTTAATAATGATCCAATATCAAAATTTAAACCAAGTATACAACAATTAAATCAAATTTTATTCCCCATACATGATCAATTAATAAATAAATTTTATACAGATGTTGAAATCATAGCCCTTATGAAATTAAAATTAAAAGATTTTGAATATAAATCATATAAAACAAATACACCATTGGTTAATCCACAAGAATTAATTAAAATTAATAAATTTATAAATGAAGATTTAAGAAATTTTTTTAATAAATATGGTAATAAATATCATAAATTTAATAAATCAAGTTTAAAATTTAATGAATTCTTGAATGAATTTTTACAAGATGAAGATGATTATAATAATGTTTAATATAATGATATAATAGTAATAGTTTATATGTATTATGTAATCTGTGTACCTAAAATTTAGCGCGACACGTATTTTAATTTTTAATGTACGGTGAAGTGTACCTTAAATCTAGATCTGGGATTTTGAAATATAAAAGATCTATGAAGAATGAGGTAATGGATATTCAACTAGCTAGTATAATAGTATAATAGATGTAGTATAGTATAATAGTTGGTATGTAATAGATCATATAATATCATTAATCAATTTATGACTGGTATCTTGTATCACTTTGTGACAGTTTGGCCAGGCGTTCGTTGATCAATGGTGCGATGATCATGGTATGTAGAGAATGTTTTGAATCATTAATTAATCGTGTTTGAGATACAACAGACAACAGAGATCCGTGTAGCTGCCAGTGTCTAGACTCTAACTAGTAACTAACTACTAGTAGTCTACTCCTAGATCTCTTGAATGCCCTAGTTCTTCTCTCTAATTCTGTCTACTTCCCTTTAAATTACCGTGTTTTATGATTTCATTTGACGTATCAGATTTCAAATTTCAGTTTAAAGTGTGAAAATGCAAGTGAAGATTGGTGGTGTAACAGTGTGTTAGGTGGGAGTTTTAGGCTCTAGGCAGGAGTGCTAGGTAGAGTCCTAGGCAGAGAACCGTACCTTGCCACCGGCCACGCACAGATAGCCCACCCACGCTTCCCGCGCAGCCCATGGCCCAGTTCTAGACCGCTTCGATCTTAAGCGAAATCTGAAATCAAAACAAAAAAAAATTGTCAACAATCAAAATCAACAACTTTTAAAATCTTAAACCAGTTCAACCACCAAGTTCAGAGAGTATCAACATTCATTAAACAAAGTACACACAATATATTCATTCACTTCCATTCTCTTTAGTTTCAAAACTACATTTCATTCATTACATTCATACACTCTTTTTTTTTATATCACTGCTATTCTTTTGGCTATAATTAGACACGGATAAACAGCATCAACAACAAAACAAACAACAACACCAAACACCAAACAAAACACAACCATGAAGACTCAAATAATACCATTATTATTCCTCTTCGCTTCCCAAATATACGCTGCTGACTTCAGTGAAAAAGGTTGTTATTCTAAAAGTGATTTACAATCAATATTAACTTCAAAAGGTGATTATACATGGCAATCAAGTAGTTATTGTGAAAAACAATGTTCTGGTTATTCTGTTGCTGCTTTATATAATGGTAAAACTTGTTATTGTGGGAATAAATTACCTTCAAACTTAGAAACAACTGATGGTTGTGATACAAGTTGTTCTGGTTATCCTTCTGAAACATGTGGTGGTAGTGATTCATTTACTGTTTATACTACTGGTGAAGAAGATACCGATAGTGATGATGATGATAATAGTTCAAGTGAGACCACTAGTAGTACTAGTACTAGTTCAACTCAACAATCTACAAGTTCAACTTCAACAAGTTCATCCACAAGCTCAACTTCTTCAAGTACTTCAACTTCATCAACTTCATCAACTTCATCAAGTACAAGTACTACAAGTTCTTCTACTTCATCTTCATCCACAAGTACTACAAGCTCATCAACTTCAACAAGTTCTAGTTCAACTTTTACAAGTCAAACAACAAGTTCTACAAGTTCATCATCAACTTCAACAGCAAAACAATCAACACAAGTTTCCATTATAACTTCATTAATTTCTCAATCAAATACTGTGGTTACTTCATATCAAACTGCAACTCCAACTGAAAATCAAAATTCAAATCAAGTTTCAGCATCAGCTTCATCATCATCCTCTGCTTCTTCCTCATCATCATCATCAGATTCAAATAAAAAAAATAATAATGGATTAAGTAAAGGTGCAATTGCAGGTATTGCAATTGGTGCATCAATTGGTATATTAGCAATCATTGCATTATGTGTTTTCTTATTCATCAAATCAAGACGTTCTTCATCTTCAGAAAATTTAGAAAAATCACCAACAACAACACCAATTCATAATGATATGTCATTTTATCCCCATGAATTTAAACGTAATGATCCATTAACAACATCCCAAATTTCAAATGGTTCATTTAATGGATTTGATCAACCAACTCCAATAATAAATACTGATAATTTTGGTAGAAAAAGATTAAGTAATGGTTCATTACCTGATGAAAGAACTCAAAAAACTCTTAGGGTGGTTAATCCTGATGAAACTACTTTAAATGATACTACTTTACATAATGATCATGATGATTTTAATTTTAGTGATGATAGTGATTTTGAAAAATTTAAATCATGAATAACAAAGCATATATTTATAAATCATAGAATATTTTAAAAAAGGTTATGATTCAAAAAGACATTCATTTCATTTTTCATTTTTATAAAGTTATTTCTTGATATTCTTTTTCTTTTTTATTAAAAATTTGGTTTTAAAAGGAATTTAGGGGTTTGCATTTATATCAATATAATTTGATACCAATTTTTATAAAAAATAAACCTTAACAAATAACAACATTTTATAGATAAATAAAATTAGGGTTTATTTTTTTCTTTACATTCTTTATCACATACATTCAAACAACATTCTTTATGTTCATTTTTTTTTTATTCTTGCTCAGATAATCATGTATTTTTAGTTTTTATGTTAATTGTTATTTTCTTTTTTTATATTTTTAAGGGTATAATTTATATATATATAGTTTATAAATGAAAAAAAAAAGGTTACAATATAAAGTGTAGTTAGTTTGCTGGCGTCAATATTATAGTTGAAACTTGATATATTGATGTTGATACTCGGTAAAGACACGTATTTTTTCACGATCCGTTGAAAAAAAAAATGATATTGTTATAATATTCTAGTGAAATAAGGAATTATTACGACAATATCATGTTAGCTTCTGTTCAAATGCGCTTTAGCTTTAGTTATTCTTTTTAGTAAGTTTGGAACATTAGATCCTAACATTCAATACTAGAATTGAATTTTCATTAATCACGTCTTTAATATAATCATGTTATACGTACGTTTTTCTGTGGTGATCATATAATCTCCAATACTTCTTTTAGTTAATGTGTTTGCAGTTATGTTTACATTGAATTCATGGAGGAGATGTTCTGATATTTTGGTATTGACAATTTGAAGGTATAATATAAATTATATTTGAGATCTCCTCTATTTGATATAATATTCAACTTATATAAATTGAAGTCATGTTATGATTGTATTTTGAATCATTTGAAATTATAGTGATCTACATTTATACACATGGTTTGTTATTCTTTCAATTGTCCATGTAGTGATTATATATTCAAACATACTGATTTGAATGAATTGATTACATATTTCCACTTCATTCAATATTATAAAATTGAAATTGTGTGAAATAAAGGGATCAATATATGTAACAATATATACATTAAACAATGAGCTATAAGCTCAACAATCAATGAATGAGCATGAAAGATGATTCTCGAATTGGCAATACTATCTTGTTTCAGCTTTGAGCCAGCTCAACGTTATAATTTGAATAAAATCTTTTAATGTGTAGTATATTGTTAATACTTGGTACACACACGTAATTTTTAACGATGCAGCTGGCAAAAAAATTTCTTGATCTTTGTGGCAAATATTTATAATTAACATGAAAATATTGTTTTTGAACGTAAAGTGTTGAGTGGTTTCACATTTCAGCTGGCTGGATCTTTTAAACAGCTTCTGCTTTATCTTATACACATGTATATTGTTAGGTACATCCCCGGTATATATTGATGGTTTCACAATGTTTATTCCTTATCTATTAAGTTTAAGGTGACATAGTTTATATTGCATCTTTTAAGATCAGTATGAACTAATATTATGATGGTATCAACTGATAATGATTTAAACCTATCGTTGAAATGATATTATACATTGCGTATATTTAATATATATATAAGATTTTATATTGATATTGAAATTTACTCTTGTCAGTGATGATTTTAATACTTTATGATCTTGTTTCTTGTCTTTTGAATTGCTATTTAATTACTAAGTTGTAGTTACACTTAAACTTCAAACATAACATATGATTGATTTATCGAATATATCTACCGCTAATTGATCAATAGTTCTTATATTGATTTTAAATACTTTGTTGATTATAGAGAGGCGTCGATTGTATCTTAGGGTGTATTATGTAATGCTTTATGTAAACATTTTCGACCAATTTTAAATTTAAGTGCCATCAATGAAAAATTTGAAATTTATTCAACTAGTCATGAAGTGTTAAGATTGTCTTAGCAAAAACTTTGAAGTTATGAATCTTGAGGATTAGAACCTCTAGAAAAGATATGATTTCTACTATCATATCAATGATAATATTCTCAATAGTGTCGTATGTCTTGTATCGACATTAGTTTTAACGCTTATCTGATGTTGGATATTTGTTATCATAATTTTCTAGTTTTTTGTTATGTTTATTTATTAACGAGCTTAAACTAGTTGAAGTATTGTTTATGGTTGTGCAGCTCATATTCGATCCTATCCAATTTAATTGCGTTATTAATTGTCTCAGCGCTGTTTGATGTAAACATTTCTTTGAAATATTGAATGATCATTTGAATTCTTGTGAAACTTATCTAGACTTTATGAATTATAGGTCATTGTTTAATCATAGGGATTATGATATCTTCGACATATGTGATATATGTTGTTTATAACTTCACAAGTCATGTTATCATTGTACTTTGATTCATTTGAAATTATAGTGAACTACAATTATATACATGTTTTGTTATTCTTTTCTGAAATGTTCATATATGTAGTTTGAATTATTGGTGATTTGATACTAGCGAATTTGTAATATAACACTCACTAGTTAAAACATTATATTATATATATATATATATATATATGATAACTACAAGCGCCTTTCCGAAAAAAGTAAGTCATGTATTTTATCAAATGTTGATGATATTTGTTAAAACAATCATACAAAACATAATTTGATTTATACAATCAATCATATGACAATCGACATTCATGATCATAGGATAAGTTATAAATGAACTAATATAAAATCAATTTTATATTATAAAATATATCAGTAATATCAAACATGCTTATCTTAAAAATTCATGAATACCATGCATAACTATTGTATTATATCAGCTAGTGAAAACAGGATAAATCTTTTACCGCAGAGTCAAAAACAACAAATGTAGACGTGTATAATTATTCTATGAGATGAAACCAATATATAATCAATAGTTTCAGTAGAATTGAGAATGAAATCAGCAGAAGAAAATTGGAGGGATATCAGAACTCATATGACGAAAAAATATATTTGATATCAATCAGCATTCATCAATATATTAATTGTAAATTGTCAATGCAAGCTCATGAAAAATATTTGTACTTTTCGCGAATAATATGTGTATATTTTGAAAAATTTTAACTATCAACTTTTCTTAGTATTCAATATATTTTAAACTCATATAAATTAAATTGCTTCTCATATTGATGACATTTAAACTCGTTACTGATATATTGATGTTTTACTTTGTCATATATTTCAAATAGACCTATGTTTTCTTCGAATTTTTCTTTTACTTATAAACTAAATGTCCCCAATATGATTACTTCTTACGCTCTTACCAATATCAAAAAAAACCTTTTGAATATTGTTAATGGATTAATGAGATGGGTCAGTTATTATATGCGGGATATACAATTTACAAGCATGTTTGAATAGTATTTGATTCATTTGTGATTATAGTGATCTACTATTAACTTATACATGACTTGATGTTTTTCATTGATTCCATATAATTGTAGCATGTAGCTGTTTAATTATCGATATGCTCTACAATAATAATAAACAATTGATATCGGATATATATTCAAATATATCGAATTATGATGGAACTTTGTGACCACTTTATACTTGACCTACTGATTAATATATAACATAATTGATAAAAGGATTGGGATATAAGAGATTGTTAATGATGAATTGAATAAAATCGTATCAAGTTTCAACGTCACTTCTATAATATAAATAAAACTTACATAATCCCCTATGTGCTCATAACCAAGATCCCTTTAAATTATAACTAATTTTCCATTTCAATTAACTTCTATATTATACTTGTTTAAATAGATCATGTGCAATACTTGATTATTTGAAGGCACTTCACCAGGATATTGGACTTTATCATTTTCACACATCTTCCATTCAAGAATGAGCTAAAGGGATTGCAGATGATGTTATTTTAAGGTATGACCTATGAGATATGAATTACATGATTGTTCATCAATTGATATGATTTTAATGAATCATTCTTGATATTCAAATCATTGATCAGAGTAACTACAAATCAATCAATATCAGATCATTAGATTACGTGTTAATCTATCTGATTAATAATATGATGATTATGTGTTTTTTGTGTTTGTTCAATTGAATTGTTGTAGAATAAAATTAGCCGCTGTCATGAACTTGTATAAATAAACCACAAGTACTCCCAAAAATTTGATCTAATTCCTTAACCTTTGTAAATTTGGATCTATATATCAAAAGAAGTTCTGGTAGATGCTTCGTCACTTGTGTTGAAAAATTCGTTTGCGTATATCTCAAGTTTCATACTTGCTAATTGATTCAAAAAATTCTCATGATCTCTGAATGCAAGCTTTGTTGATTTGATCAAAATTATATGAATAATATCTATTTAGATTCAGATATACTTTAAGCTAAATACACACTATAAGATTGATCTCATTCATGTTCATTGTGAAATTCATTGACATTAAGATTAGATCTTATACTTTTAATTCTAATTTAATTTAACAAATTGTAGACTACAAATTATCATATATATCGTAAACACGCCATAAACAGTGTAAAACAATTGTCACTTTCATCAATTATAACTGGGACCTTTAACTATATCAGATCTTTGTAACTATACAATCATTCAGAAGGAACAATATAATGACTAGAATGTTTTGTATATAACTAGCTAAACTGATCATAAAAAGATTATAGTCATGAATATATGGTTAATTTGTTATTTTGTATCCAATTGATTCCATGTACTTCATTCGATGCTCTACAATAATAATCATAAAATGAGGATCATATATTCAAATAGAATGTTAAAGCTTTGATACCACCTTATACTGGATTCTATTGATTTATATTCCATTATGTTAAAAGATTGTGACTGATCATCAAATTTAATTGTTTGATTTGAGATTGAAATGAACCAATAAGTAACAAATTTTAATCAACAATCATGAAAAAGTCCAATTAACAAGACGGCTTTGAATTTAGGAGCTATACAAAATGATCAGATATTTATTTCAGTTCCAAATGTGGTATTACGAAAGTTTCCAGAACAGCATCTAGTAGAAGTAATAGTAAAGAATTAAGAATTAAGGAGCTGATTCGGATTTGTGATCAAATATTTATATGATTTTTAAAACTAGACACAGCGGCTAATTAAGCTTAACAATAAACAAAAGTATATTATATTATCCATCAGATCATGTAATTATATATTCAGACTAGTTGAAAGAAATCAGATTGCCATATATTGAGCTTCAACTACAATTAATGTATGGAAAAGATCAAGTCTTTCTAGTAGTATTTATTGCTATATTAAACAAACTTCAAAGATCAGATTCAAATTCTTCTTTTGTCTTATCAGCACCCCATTTAAACTTATAAGCAGTATGATCTTCCCTTAAAAACTTTTGACCTTCTTTATGATTAATATTTTCTCTTAATGTAGATGATGTATAATCTTTATGGAAAATACCTCTTTTTTGTAATTCTGGGATCAACAATTCCACAATTGATTCCAAATCATTAGGAAATGAATCAACAACAAGATTGAATCCATCAACATCATAATCATGCACCCATCTTTCTAATTCATTTGCAACTTCTGATGCTGTACCTATTAAGTTTTTATTTATTGTAGCAAAATTATCTAATAATTGTCTCTTTGTAGGTTTACTCTTTTTAACTTTCTTACTAATTGTATTTGTCCATGTAGCCATCTCATTAACTTTGGCAATATTAACTTCTTCATCATCTTCAAATATACTAAGATCAATACCTGAAATTCCACTAAGCACAACTTCACTGTAATCTGGGATCTTAAATTTTTTAGCTTCTTCCAACTTGTTAAACGCTAATTCTTCTCTAGTTTTCCCAATAGTGGGTCTTATCCCAACAATAAATTTAACTGATTGAGGATCTCTACCATAAGTTTCTGCTAATCTTCTAATTTCTTTAATATCACCTTTAATTCCTTCATCATATCTACCATCTAGAAAAACAACTTCAGCGTATTTAGCAGCAAGTAGTTTCCCTTTAGTTGAAGTTCCAGCTTGGAAAATCACAGGAAATCTTTGTGGAGTTGGTTCAGTAATTCCAGGACCTTCAACATTAAGATATTTACCCTTATGATTGATTTTTCTGATTAAATCTGGATCAGCAAATATACCTTTCTTTTTATCATATTTGATTGCATCATCTCTCCATGAAGATAATAATAATTTCAAGACAACATCAACATATTCTTCAGTTTTAACATATCTTTCATCATGTTCTGGTAAAGCCTCACCATTTAATAAATTTGGACCTAAACTTGTCAAATAACTTGATACAATATTCCAACCAATTCTACCATTAGTTAATAAATCTAAAGAAGCTAATCTTCTTGCAAAATGATATGGATGTTCAACCGCTGTACTAAATGTTATACCAAATCCAAGATTATTAGTAACACTAGACATTGCAGTAATTGAAATAGCAGGATCAATTCTTGGTGAAAAAGCACCAATCTTAGCAGGTAATTTATAATTCCCAGGTCCTTTATAATCATCAAAAAAACTTAAATTATCAGCTATAAATATAGCATGAATTTTACCCTTTTCTGCTAATTTAGCAAAATTTATCCATGATTTAATATCTCTTGTAAATTCTCTTGTTTTATCTTTTGGATCTCTCCATGAACCTGGTGATGCATTTGTATAAACATTGATGATTAAAGACTTTGAAATTGTCATAATATAGATTGTTTTCCTTTTATTAAATTTGAATATCTTTGGTATGTTTGGACTTATGCAAAAGTGAACATTGGTATATTTGTGTAAATTGATGACTTGATAGTTCAGTTATAGATCCACACTCATGTATAAATAGTTATTAGTCAAATCACACAGTTCGGATCATGCTCATTTCGGATGGTGTGTGTGTAGAATTCATGGGTAAGCTTTTGGGATATTATAATTGACACTTAATATAGATCCAAATTTGGTTAATCAAGCGAAGAATGAGTGAATAAGTGAACATTTAACAATGGGCAATTTATTGGCATGTTGATTACATGAGTCCAAAGCGTTTAAAAGAGCTTCATCTCTTCATCTCCTTTCTTAACCTAAAGAAGTCTTAGAAAACTTTAATTTTGATTTTTATACGTACTTATATACTTAAAATCCTCGACGTATATAAACGGTCTTTATGAGTCGTTATTCGTTACACACACGTATTTTTTATAAAATATCATAAATTTGTTGAATCAAAATTTTATTCAAAATCATTTACACATCCTAGTTATTGTTTTGGATATGGTCAGTTGCTCCTCTATCGATTAGATGTTGATTAATTTGGCTCACTTCTATATTATTTATTCTGCAGCACAGCAATGCCGGTTGTGGGTATAATTTGGATTTTAAAAGCTTTAATTATTACCTATCAGCAATTAAAATGACTTTATGATGGTATCAATTGATAATGATTTAAACCTATCATTGAAATGATACACGTTCATATATCAAATATATATACAAGATCTTATTGGTATTGAAATTTACTCTTATCAGTGATGATTTTAATACTTTATGATCTTGTTTTTTGTTTTTAGAAATATTGCTAAGTCATGTAGACGTTACAATTAAATCTCAAACATAACATATGATCGATTCGTCGAATATATATATAGAACGCTAATTGATCAATAGTTAGTATGATGATCTAAATACTTTGTTGATTATAGAGATCGAGATTGAGTTGCTAATGTTTTGTGTATTATATAATGTTTATATAACACTAGATTTCAAGATGCAAAGCTCCTTAGTGGAATTATTAAATATCAGCTTACGTTGTACGTTGATGTACCCCCATGTTCAATATTGTACCTAAGCGACTTGTGTTTTGTTTGCTAATGTAACTATAACTGGGTCATAACGTATGTCGGTTAGCTTGGGTGAATTTTATCAACACTACTGTTTGTTGAAAACTTCGATTGAAATTTAATGTTCATATGGCTTCAAATTGTGAAGTTTATCAGCCTTTCTATGAACTATAGGACATTTTTCAATCATAGGGATTTTTCAATAATGTTAAATATTAATAAGCTGTTAATACAGTTAATATTTTCATTGAGATCTTCTATTATTTGATAATATAATATTCTTCAACATATTTGATACATGTTGTTGATATATTTCCACAAGTCATGTTATGATTGTATTTTGATTCATTTGAAATTATAGTGATCTACATTTATATACATGTTTGTTATTCTCTTTTGAATTGTTGTAGCTCAGTAAATGTGACGATATTTATAACATGTTATATAGTGGACCATGTTTGTATATGTGCCGATCTAAGATTAGATCTAGATCAGAATTTATCATATGAATAAACTACAATCAATAATTTGAAAAATAATGAATAATGTATTCTATCAAATGTTGATGATATTTGTTAAAACAATCATACAAATTTTAATTTGATTCATACAGACGTATATGTCAATCATTCATGATAGGTACAGGATTAGTAAATGAATTCTGATTGATTAATTTTCAAAAAGATCATTAATGTTCTAATATCCCAATCTATCAATTTGATTGTGTTGAATAATCCCAACTGATCCCACTTATACTGAATACAAGATGATCAAATAAACACTTCACACAAATAATATATATAATCTAATTTGTATCCCATAAAACCAATGACGCTTATCGAAGCTAGCTGAATATTTCCAAAAAATGAAAAGGGTTTTTTTGAATAATGTTGACTCAGAATTGAAGAAAAAAATAAGAAATATAAGATCTTGGAGAATATTCGATATTAACAAAAATTCATTTCATTTCAACCCCAATTAATCATCAATACTAGACGTTTGATTTATATTTCAATGTGTATTAAGTCAAATATATTTAATTAATATGGTGATGAAAATTTTAATAATTACTCCGCGAAGTTCGTGTGCCTGCATATTTTGAAAAATTTCAAAAATAAACATGCCCCCTTTTTTTGCTTCAAGATATGATCTTATTAACAGTAATTCAATATGATATATTCCATTGTTTTGGATGATATTTCTTATTGTTATGCTTATAAGTTGAAAATCAAATTAGATATAAATGTTATCGTTATGTTATGTTCGGTTAGTTGTTCCTTCTATGTGTTGTTTTTTAACACCCGCTTGTTCTGCACTGATTTCTTAACTCTGATATAAACTGTGGATATTTAGATCTCTTAAGTGATTGATATTATTGAAACAGCTATATATATAATATATTCAAAGGGCATGTCTGAATAGCATTTGATTCATTTGTGATGGTGATCTACTATTTATATACATGCGTAGTGATCTTTTTCATTGTCTCGTTGTAGTGTAATCGATTTATAGTCTAATAATGAACAAAAGGTCACATTAATATTTTCAAATTTAGCTAGATTGATAAAATCTGGCCTGTATCACACTATATAAGGTACTAATATTGATCTATTCTTGATATTAATTCAATTCTATAATTTAAGACTGGGAATATAGTTTTGTTAATGATCGATTGAATGAAATCATAACAATGTTAATATACAAAACTTCAATTACGATTAATCTATGGAAAAGAATGACAAGGGGTATATCTTAATAAATGAATTGATAATGTCTTGTTTCAACTTTATACGAATTCAAATCATATATATCCTAATTATTGAGCTGATCATCATATATATTTGGTAAGATCAATTAAAAGCGAGTTATCTTTTGCCAAAATTTCAATGATGAATGTTTAGATATGTATGCATCAATATCAATGTTTTTTCTGAAGAAACAATTGGAACCAATGGCCGGATCTAAAAGGATTGGTAGATATTTATTTCACAGATGCTAAATTGCTAAAACGTAGATGTTCGTGTTCACACTCTATCCAACCAGTGATACACCATTAACTGTTATTCCCATCACTAAACCGTTGGCATATGGATTATATAGGCCCTTTCAATACGATAAATCAACATCAAACATGGTTTAACCCTGTATATTTGATACAATATTAATTTCAATTCAAACTTCGTTGTTTTTTAATAAGAGACTTATGTAATCCATTACGTGCTTGTAACAATTAAATATCTATCTTTTACACAAAATACAACTTCTTTTTCTTCTTCCAATTACGCTACGTCGTTAAATTTTCTCCATTTCATTATAATATCAAATATTTGTGAGTTTTATATCATGCGTTTACATTGCACAGTTATATTCATTTGAAGCATAATTGGTATTAAGCTTACTGAATTCACGTCATATCCTTTATTTTTCATTCAGGCTTTGAAGATTTCTGTTAGTTCTAAATTACATCATTCTTTATATCAATTACATGTGATTTTAATATTTAATTAATGATCATTCAATTGATATTCAAATCATTGAGATTACAAGTCAATCAATTATCTAGGATTCATTTGATTATATAGTGATGAATTATATTGAACGTCTTGTTCTTGTTTTCAATTGTTGACATATTGTAATTTAAATTAAGCGCCTGTTTCCCGTTCCCCGTTGTAGAAAAGTTTCAATTTTTAAGGGGGTAAAATTACGTGTATATGTTGTAGCCCGCCAACTCGATCGTCCCGCTAACTCGTACTAGTAAGCGGTGCAGTATACCAACCCCATCCCGCCAACTAGTACCAGTAAATAGTATGGTAAACGCAACATACCACCAACTAGTCTAGTAAATGGTATACCACCAACTTCTTGAATGGATAATATACATCATATCAAGTCCTACATGACTATAAAAGCTGCCAGGTTCTTACATTCCAAATATCAATTCATATCCATTAGCTCGAAGCCCTTTATGGCGGAAATATTGCAGCAGTCGTTGATTTAATGTTCGTATTCGAGTGATTGGTATATCGGTTCTAGGTGATACTATAGCTTCAAATTTGCTTACCCCATTGAACAACCATGCAAATTGGCTTTAACATGTATTAAAATGAGCTACAGTACAACATATATTATCTAGCTTAATCTGGAAATAAATTGTATAATGTAAGATCATCTCTAGTTTATTATATATAGCCCTGTAAAATTTAGGTATATTGTCAAATCAATATGATTAGAGAAGTGATATGTTTCTTGTACTAGTGCTTTGCAAATTTAATCAGATCTAATATAGTAGTATCTTAGCTATTCTTTCTTATTAAACCAGTTTCATAATAGTTACCAGTATACCATCATGAGGCTCCTTCAAATTCTGTTTTAATCAACAAAAACACCATAACGACTTTGAATGCAATAAGCTTATTACTTGACGAATATATGCTCTTTATCCCCCAAAACAGTCCTGTAAGTCTGCTTTATCAAGCTCATAAACATAGCATTTGCAGCTTTATGATCTTCTCTAGTGTATTATATGACCCTTTGGATGTTCTTATAAATATAAAAGTGTAACATTGGCATAAATCATCAAATTTCCATTCAAGAAGTTGGTGGTATACCGTTTACTTGTACCGTTGGCGGTAGACTGCTCTTACCATACCATTTACTGGTACTAGTTGGCGGGATGTTGCGTTTACCATACCATTTACTCGTACTAGTTGGCGGGAGGGGGTTGGTGTACTGCACCGCTAACAGCAACAAGTTGGCGGGATGATCGAGTTGGCGGGCTACAACATATATAAATAAAAACAGAATCTCGATTTAAATTCAATCTTCTTTTGTTTTATATTAGAATGCAAGATTCTTTCTATATTAATCCTGTGA